TTTTTTCTGATGAGTGTCGCTTTGGTCTGACCTCTGATGACAGACGGGTACTATGCTGGCAAACTGCTGGTAAAGCATTTGAAACACATGCACTGAATTTTCGAACCCGAAGCAGCATATTCATCATGGTGTGGGGCTGCATCAGCATCCATGGTTTGGGCGAATTGATAGTGGTTATTTGAAACATGAATCACTGGAAATATATCGATGTTTTGGAGTCAGGCTTGCTACCATCTATTACTAACATGTTTGGTGACAGGAATTATCCATTTTTTCACCAGGACGACAATGCTCCTTGTCACAGGCCCAGAGCAGTTGATGATTGGTTTGACCAACAGGACATTCGCAGGGTGATGTGGCCTGCCCAGAGTCCGGGTGCAAACATAATAGAAAATGTGTGGAATGATATGTCAAAACTTTTTACAAATGCCCGTCTCACCAGCAGAGAAACTCTGTTATATTCATGTGTTTCATGCTTGGGCCAGAATAAGCCCTGAACGCATCAGACAATTATATGAAACCTTGCTTCGTAGACTGGCACCTATTATTAGGTCACGTGGCTATGCCACTAAGTACTAATTTTGGACTTAAAACTGCATATTTTGGTAGAATGTATATTTTGTTCTCATTTTGTGATTTTTTGTGAAATTTGATGTTAATAAAATTATACCAGGAGCATATCATTCCACAGTAATTTATCTCCCCCATAGTATTGGCTCAGTAGGGGTGACACTTTTTTTGTCCAGTGTGTGTAGTAAATGGATGGATATATATATAGATAGATAGATAGATAGATAGAAAGACAGGGAGATAGATAGATAGATAGAAAAATTCTGAAGAATCTACGAGGTGAACAAAAACACAGTTTCAGTCCAACTCATCAGCATCGTTAAAATACAGCAGATGTTTCTTCTTTACAGGTAAAACTCTCTCTCACCACAAACAGATTAACGCGGTAACAGATAACTTATGGCTTAATTTGAGACAGTGTTGTATTTCTAATTGTATCTGAGATAAAACGATAGTGATAGGTAGGATTTGGGATTGTGCAAATCAAGAGGTGCTGACAGAGGAAGTTTAATTTTTTTTAAACATCTTTATTCTCAAGAAGGTTAAATATTGTTGCAGTATAATTGAAGGTGGCAATTCGCCTAGGCATTACATGCTCACCTTTGAAATTAAATAATAATAATAATAATAATAATAATAATAATAATAATAATAATAATATTCAAGGAAAAGACTGACGAGGACATGAGTGGCATTAGAGGGGAGTGAGGGACAGGGCATAGGGGAAAGGTATTTATGGGGAAGAGAGGGCAATAGGCAATCAGGAGTGAGTGGTAGGCGCCAGAACAGATATGGAAGATGATTCAGACATTTTTGATTAAGAAATCCGACACTATTTCAAAAATTTTATCGTTTTGTCCAGATGTTAGTATTTTATGGTTATGATGGAACAGGGATATCTTATATAGTTGGGTTCTGAAATATACATAGGTTACACCAAGTATATCTTCAACAGATTCGTAGAGATCATGATATTGCCTCTGTTTCAGAGGGTACTGAAAGAAAAAAATGACGGATGGTTTCGGGTTTCCCACATAAACAGTTGGGAGAAGCCATAGCTGTCCAGTTGTGGTCATATAGTTGGGCTCTAAATAACAAATCGACCCGGGCCTTGTTTAGGATTTTTTCATTTTGTCTCATAAGCTTCAGATGGGTGGTGGACATTGTTGCTGGGAAGGTTTCCTTTCTAAGGTTATAGTTGAAAGAGGATGCAGAAGGAAGATTTTTTTGGGTGGTGTTTAGTTCATCCCAGCTTGTCATCAAAAAGTGTTCAGGACCTTTGTATGTGAATTTAGAGGGAATTATGTAGTCTCTTTTAGATGTTGTCCGTAGAGGTAGCATGGATTTGTTTCTAAATGGGATGAAATAGGTAGAGACATACATGTAGGAAGGTGCTAGTTGATTGTGGATATTGAACATGATTATTTTCGTGCGGTTTCTTCGACGTTCCTCTAGTGAAACCCAGTTCAGCTGTTTCAGTACCTTACAGCGATTTGAGCCAGGAAGTTTAATGATCGTTTTGAAATGCTAAGTATAAAAAACAATATATCTGAAGTTTTTATAGGCTAGTCATATTCCAAATACCATATATATTTTTTAGAATTCAATTGAATGACTTCAGAAAAGTAATGTAAATGGACATTAAACGTTGATTTTCCATAAATGCAGACTTCTACGTAACACGTAAGATACATTTAATCTCGAATTTGACAGAACGTAGGAAGAAAACAATTTAATTATTTAGCCTTTGAGGTTTTTATGTTCAAAATGTACCACAAATGGAAGCTTTTGGCTAAATCTCTTCATTAAATTTGCTATTTCTATCATATTTTACCTCAGTTCCCAGCCGTTTATTAAAATATTCAGAAGAATCAGAATGCAATGACTAAAACAGAAATGGCAACATATGGTCGTTGAAATTAAATTTAGCTATTCGTGTATCATCACAGAATAACAGCAACGCACTTCTTT